TTTTAATTTTTTCCATCTCTGCAACTAAACATGAAATATAAGCCAAGTTTTTGGCAGGATTCATCTTAACACATAAATGAGAATAGTCTTCCCTCCAATGATGCTTTATATTTTTAGCTGCTGTTTGGTGGTCCCACCAGTTGTTGTTCTTGTTCTTCTTCTTGTCATCATTTTGACTGGTGGTGTCGTGATGGTGCCTGCTGCTGCTGCTGCACTTGTTGTTCTTATCCACATGATGGTCCTTTCAATCAACTGATAGTTGAACCCTCAAGCTCTGATGAAAATAAACTAATGGCCTGAACAGTATGGGAGTACAAATCCAATAGTACAAAACTGGCCTACTACTATTGAGGATTTATCATCCTACTAGTAGTACTAGTAGCACTATGATTTAGTCAGTTAGTACCAGCAGGAGTATGCTACTACTAGTACTAGCTACTAACCTAGTTTTAGGAGGTGTTGAGGTTAGGAGCTTGAAGAATCCCTACTTGGTCATGCTTTCAACAAAACTCCTCAGAGGAAGAAAGTGCCTCCCCTCAGACGAGGAGCAACTACTACAGTAGCTGGTAGAATTAACATTAATGGTCTTCTGGCTGATGAGGACATAACGCTTCTGCTAGCCTAGTAGGTCATGAGTTTAAATATAACATTACCAGTAAAGTTTCTTATTCCACCACTAGTCTGTCTGTATGAAATACTGGTGCTGATGCTGTCACCACATCAAATCACCTGGTCAGCAATCCAACAAGAATTTGTTCCTGTCTCTTTGTGCACTTAGCTAGGTGACAGCAAAGATAATGTCTGCAAAAAGTTGTGTTCAAATCTGATGTCTAGTTTGAGATGTAGAGGGGCTAGTTGCTCTACTCCCAGGCCCTGCCTGTAATGGTTGTTTGTTGAAGGAAAAATTGAAGTTGTTGATGCATTTTAATGTGGGGATTTACAAGGGAGCTGGTGGCCTGAATTCAAAATTAATTTCCCCCCTTGTCATTCAAAATCTCAAAAAACCAGTTGGAACAGTTTCCTTAATGGTTCACAGCACAAAAAATAGGAATTGTATATTGGGAACAACAGCTACTAGTATTACCCTTACAAGAAAAGGCAAGCGATACCAACACAAATACTACTACTAGTAGTACTGGTATGATTAGTAGTATGGTTCTACTACTTTTGGAAATAGTACTAGTATGCTGCTTCTTAGAAGATAAAACATTGGAAGCAAGAAAACAACCCTTTGGTGATGCACCCCAAATACTGTTTGGGGGAAACTACTAGCACTGGGAGAAAGAACAAAAGGGAAGTAATTGGATTGGTACTAGTAT